AAAAAAGAAGAAAAAAAAAGAACATAAAATCTATGCTTACAAATAAATATCTTAAAGTTTCATATAACATTTAATCTATTCATCATTGAAGAAAAAAATCCCATTTAAATTACATTTAGTAATTAATTATTAAGTATTTTATGTTGTATGACTTTCAATCCCTATAGTAACGAGCAAAAGCTGATTCAAAAACTTTTATTCACAGAAGATCTTCAGTGGCTTTAGTCTAGGGATGCAACAAATTCTGTTTTTCTGCGTAAAGATCGTAAGTTTTCGATACAGGAATCTTCTAAATCCAACCAAATCTTTGTTTATTTATAACCAGTTTTATCTGCTGCCTTTGATGCTGGTATTTATTTACCAAATCTCAAAAGAGAACATCTAAGATTTGATGAAAACTATCATATTTTTACCAAGTACTAACAAATCTTAGATGTTCTCTTTTGAGATTTGGTAAATAAATACCAGCATCAAAGAGAGTACATAAAACTGGTTATAAATGAACAAAGATTTGGTTGGATTTGGGAGATTCTTGTAACGAAAACTTCCAATTTTTATGCAGAAAAATAGGATTTGTTGCATCCATATTTTATTCCTTTAATGTATCTGTTTTTTATTTCTATTAATTAGATGGCGACAGCAAATATATGCGGGCAATGCGGTTAATGTCCGGTTTCTTTGCACATCTGTTGAATCTTCAACCGCACGAACATCCAGAAGCATTCCAAATCAAGCTAGATGGGGAATGGCCATGGTTTCTTCTTCGAAAAAAACAGTTATGTCTTTTTTTACAAGATCCAACACATTTAGTGACAAAGTGGAGAAACCGGTTATTAACTGTTAAAGCTGAATTGCATATCGGGAGTCAGTTAATTAGTATGAAGTATCTAAAAAATATAATCGAAAATGATAAATATACAAAACTAGATCATGGTTTAATCAAATCTGATATAAATCCAAAAGACAGACAGAACTATTGATCTTGTGTTAAAATAGTTTCAGAAGATGTATTAAATATTCTTAATGAAAATATGGATGCACAAGGTACTCATTTATATCTTACATGATTGAAAATGATAATAACAGCATATATTGAAAAGTCTACAACAATAAAAAAACGTGAGTGTCCATTGAGAGTTGATGAAATTCAGGATAAATATTCTGCTTAATCTACATTCAGAAAACTGATACAGAATTGGTCAAAATATCTTCAGATGAAGATGTTTTGGTGAAATGAAGAAATCGTTTCTCTAGATTTGGATAAAAAATAGAGATTGTTTTAACACTTTTGATATATTCTAAAGTCTTTTTTGCAAATAGAATAAAATCTTGAGTCGGATTTTTGATGGGATTGAAATAAATCATGAATCACAGTTTTATGTGAAGTTCAAAATCGTCTTTTTTTGAAATTCGTGTTCAATAGATAAGCCATTCCAACACCTAAATGAAGTGCTCAAATTGGAAAAGTAGTTACTGCATAGTACAGGAGAAGAAAAGATGTCAAACAATAAAGTTCTAAAAGTAATACAAAGCGTTTTTCATAAGTTTCGATCCCATTTTTAGTTTTTTTTTATCTTTACCATATTCCATTGTGGAAAGATATTGAATATATTTTTTCAAGAGAAACATATAGGCTATCAATCAAAAAAAAAATTGCAGGCAATTTGCATGAACTCTGAGAGAGAACTGAATCGATAAATGTTTTGACAAAAATTTTTTCAAAACCTTTATCGATTCAGTTCTCTCCTAGAGTTCATGCAAATTGCATGCAATATTTTTTTTGATTGATAGCTTAGATGTTACTCTTGAAAAAAATATATTCAATATCTCTCCACGATGGAATATGGTAAAGATAGGAATAAAACTAAAAATGGGGTAAAAACTTATAATGTATCCATTATTTTTGCCACTAAAGTAGACCATTTGGAAGTTGAAAAATTTATCCCTAGACCTAAAATTGTCAAAAAGGCTTTCACCTTGATACAAATATTTTATTTATTATTTACTCCAATCCGAAAAAAGTTCGATATAAAACGGAAATATGTATTATTAGAAGTTACTAACTTTGAGCTTGTCAGTTTTTTAAATTATATACAAATGTATTTAACTAATTTTACCTCAGGATTAGAATTGGCGTGGTGTGTTATGTTCGTTTGTCACCTTTGATGGGCTTGGTTACAACATACAAATAGTGTAAATATATCAACAGAAAATAAAAATAAAAATTTCATAACTAGAACAGCTTACTGGTCAGTAGAAATTAATGCACATATGTTGCTTTATTTAATATTACTTGTAAAAGAGAATCAGGTGCCAAAAGAAGCATTGCATATTTACTTATTTAATTCACAATTTTGTGAATCAATGTTTCGAAATACAAGATCTTTAAGTGGAGCATTTTCGCTAATTGTTAATTTTACGGTTGCCGATTTTCTTCGTCGCTCTAAAAAATTATCAATTTTAAATAAAATCAAATTTCAATAACAAGATAATGAATATGGCAAACGTTTACTTTTTCCTACACATCATAAGCATAAAAATGATAACAATTTAGTAGCACAACAAAGATTATATGATGTTTATAGTTTAGATATAGAGCAAATTGTTTTTCATTCTTATAAAATGGCAGTTAATCTTATCAAACCGTTAAATATAATATCAGTATTAAAAGAACATCATCTTCTCGAATTATATTCCTTAAGTAAATATACTTTTAATCAGTTAAATACAAGATCAACAATAAAAGCTAAAACTAGTCCAAATTCAGAATTAGTCATTGATTACCACGAGGACGATGAAGATGAGGAAGATGATGATTATTTATATAATAATGATGAAATTGTTAGTAACAGCAATGAGGACAGTGAAGGTCTTAATGAATCATCCGATGATGATGATGAAGAAAATATGGAAACAATGAAAAACGATTTTAATGGTATAAACATTCGAGATAAAATAAATATGGAGCAGAAAAATTGTGATTTCAAAATAAAAATGAATGGAATAGTGAAGTATATGCATAAGCAAACTGCTTGTTGGATTTTGACGGAAGAAAATGGAAGACTTACAACAGATCGTTTATTTCGTGTAATGCAGATGAACAAAAAGTAGAAATGATGGTCTATCTTGTATAATTTTTGTTTCAGTTTTGTTTATTGTAACATTATATAGATAAATGCATTGACTATAACTAATTTTTCGCCTATAATCTTCTTGTAAAATTTGATATCATTTTTATGCTTATGATGTGTAGCGAAAAGCAAACGTTTACCATATTCATCGTCTTGTTGTTGACATTCGATTTTATTTAAAATTGATAGTATTTTAGAGCAACGAAGAAAACCGGCAACCGTGAAATCAAGAATTGTTGAAAATGTTCTACTTAAAGATCTTGTATTTCGAAACATTGATTCACAAGATTAAAGTACTTTAATGTACTTTAATGTACTTTAAAATACTTTAAGGTACTTTAAAGTACAAAAGTACGGTGTTTCCCCTTTGTCCACACCCACACCCTATACCCGTTTGTATTTTCCTAGCATTCTGTCTCCTACAGAGTTGCATTCAATTGAAATTATATTTTGTATATTATCTACGAATAGTTTTCCTTCCATTTGAAAACTTTATCCATCGCGTAAAATCATACGTTTCTTGGATGCAGCTACAAATTAAGACATAAAATTTTGGACCTTTCATACTCTAGTAGGTGAGACTGAAGCCCAATCTATCACAGGCTGGCAGAACAAACCTTCAACAAGTCTATCAAACCTTTATGTTGCATACGCATCTTCTCATCAGCAGGGATTAGTTGACAAACAGAATTATTTTTCAAAAAATCCTTAAAATCGGTATCAAATTTCTGATAAGTCAAGGATTAAATTGTATCTCTTATTATTGGCGAATATGAAAAACATTGCCAAGTCACTAGATATAAAGAAAATTGCTACCATCATTCTATTTTCTTAAAACTAAAATGATGATGCCGAAAACAGCCTCCTTCTTTCTACTTGTTCTAAGCAGGTAACTGTAAAAATTCTAATTTTTCCATTCATGTAACTGTGACAAGTCTTTTCTGAAAGCATGAAACGTTTAATTTCATTTGCATACTTTCTATTTCTAATTTAGTATCTTGATAATTCGAGTCGAGACCCAATTATGCCGTGATATGGCTCAATACGATCGTTGCTCGCTGAATAGTGCCTGTGTCTGTTTCTATATAGCAGGGGCTATAGAAACTGGTATTTGCAGTGATCAACTTTTGGCAGATTGTTCACAATTGGTTTCCTGCGAACCTTCCACAAACCTGTGCCATCAACCCGGTCACAGATGTGTTCATCATCCTCAATGCCATCATCTTCCTGTTTGTTATCCAGTGCCGAGTTTCAATCGGCAACTCTGTCCATTGATAATACGTAAGAGAACGAGCAATTATTTTCAGTGATATATGCTTTTGTCCGCCTACAGTTCACACATTCGTAAAGAATGACCCCGGGTTATATGCTTAAATGCAGCCATATTTATATTCATGTTTCTTCTAGCGCCCAGCAAAGTCGTCCTGAAAGAGAATAATAGAATTCGCGCTCAGGGAGTCATGTGACTACTATAAAACCTTCGTTCTACTAGAAAATATATCATGTTCCATGATAGACATAGAACAACATGACTTCTCATATAAACTTCTCATGATCATTAACAGCGACCAACAATACAGCAATAAGTCTTGCTACAACTACAACTACAACTACAGATATAGGTACAGATGCCAGCACAACTACAGCTATAAGTACAGATGTTAGCACAACTACAACAACAACCATAACAACAGGAACTACGATTACAACTACAACCACAACTGATGCTCCACAAATAGGTAAGCTTTGACTAATGCTTATTAAACTAGTCCGTACATCTCATTCTTGATAAGATATCTCCAGTTATTTTTATGAACCAGTCCACGTAAGCCACGACCGAAGTTGCTCAATCGATATCATGGGAACTTGCTCAATTTAAGATATGTTATAGAGGGAAGAGTTTTATGATTTTTGACGCAAGCCGATTCAAAAAATATTGAACCTTCGATTTTTTAGGAGTATTTTACGAAAAGGCCTAAAAGTGACCATATATATAAATGGGGGTCCTAATGCAATGATATCTCACGAATGACTCAACCAAATGAGCTGAAATTTTTTATTATCATATATATCAGTGAATTCTATTTACCGTAAAATTTTCGTTTTCAAATATTGAGCCATTGGGATTTTATGAAGCACTCAATATATGGAAAAAGGTCCATTTATGATAAGTTTGGCACTTCATAACTTTTGATCAGAATGATATATGGTTCTCAAATTTTTACTATTAATAGGACACTGAGATATATATCTCTCCTGAAAATTTCAGCTATCCATACCGTTCCATTTGCTCAGGGCAGCCCCGAGCAAAACAAAATTTTGATAAATGTGCGGACTTTCATGATAGGCTTTCTCCCAAGATATGGATTGTCTGGGACGCTGGTTATTAGAACTGTAAAGTACTCTCTTTGGATTACAATTCTGTAAAAAAATGAGCGTGGGATCTCCAAGATTGGCCGCAGGGGACTCAGTGGAAAATACGAAAACATGAGCCTTTTTGATAGGAAATCTACACAAGTGCACTTCGGAATTCCTCCAAGGAATTGAGTATTTGATATAAATTTTATGTAGTGAAAATCAGCATTCAATTCTGTATTACCCTGTATCAAAATATCCTTTCAAAATGAAAAAAAACATTTTTTCAAAAACTCCCCTACCCTCCTCCAGGCCTCTTCCTTAACATCTTACTCTTGTAGCCCCTGTACACCCTAGGGGAATTTTTTGGCAAAAAATTTTGTTTTCACTTTCTAAGGATATTTCGATACCGGGTAATAGAAAATTGAATGCTGATTTTTACTGCATAAAATTTATCTTATATAAAAAGGACACTGCACGTAATTTCAAAGTGCACTTCAGTAGATTTCCCATAGAAAAGGCTCATTTTTTCGGATTTTGCAATGGGTGCCCTGGGTCCATTCTTGGAGATCCCACACTCATTTTTTTACAGAATTGTAGCCCAAAGAGAGTACTTCAAAGTTCTAATAATCAACGTCCCAGACAATCCATATCTTGGGAGAAAGCCTATCCTGAAAGTCCCCACATTTATCAAAATTTTGTTTTTCACGCGGCTGCCCTGAGCAAATGGAGCGGTATGGATAGCTGAAATTTTCAGAAGAGATGCATCTCTTAGTGCTATATTAAAAGTACAAATTTGAGAGCCATATATCATTCCTATCAAAACCTATGAAGTGTCAAAGTTAACATAAAAGGACCTATTTCCATATATTGAATGCTTCATAAAATCCCAATGGCTCAATATTTTAAAAGGAAAATTTTATGGTAAATAGAATTCACTGAGGTATATGGTAATAAAAACTTTTAGACCATTTGTTTGAGCCACTCGTGAGATATTGTTCTATTAGTACCCCCATTTCTATATAGGCTCATTTTTAGGCCTTTTCGTAAAATGCTCATAAAAAATTGAGGGATCAATATTTTTTGAATCGGCTTGCGTCAAAAATCATAAAACTCTTCCCTCT